ATTCCTGCAAGCACCTATGGAGGGGATTCATTATGCAAGTCCTACAGAATCCATATAAGTAATTTTAACATGCCAAATTTCATTAGTGTGGAAAAGGTGTTAGCTGTAGAGGTACAAGATGTTCTTTCTATATATATAAGCAAACATCAGGTTATTATTCACATGAATATGAAAAAGATCTCCTTTCTAATTCCACAGTGTGCGCATGGTGTTGTTTCAAATGTGGCTCTTAATAAGTATTTTAGGATTGCATTTGTGTTAAAACTTCTGAAGTTGCTCAGAAATTCTTTCACAGTTGAATCCCAGGTTGTCAGAAGAGAGAGTTTTCTTGATACCTACTGTAATTTGCTATATTTTTTTCTGCTACATAATGAGATAATGCTTTATCTCATTATGCATCATCAAATTTCCCTGAACTTCTCTTCTCAGTTCATTACCATTATCTTGTTTTATTAATTTTATTTACAGATCATCTTTGTACTAGCTCCCAAGTCAGCTAACCAAAAGAAACATTAGACAGGCAGAGATTAATTCAGCTCTGCAAAACTATCCCCTGGTTCATAGTGTGATGTGTATGAATCTAGTCTTTATTGCAGCCGTGGTTTATTTTTGTTACAATTCTGCTTTAGTTGATTTCAGCTTCTAGAGATTAACAAAAGTTTTCCCTGCAAAGACTCAGTTGCTGCAAACACGTGGAAGGGCTTCAACATATCCTTTTAGATCAAAAGGAACTGATATTCTTCTCTAGCGTTCAGAGACCTGTCATCAAAACTGTATTCTCAAAAACCCAGCATTGCAGGAGACATCACAAAGACTATTCATGAGCATTTGCTGAGATTTGGGAGTTGGACTAGATGATGTCCAGAGGCCCATCCAGCCTCAACTATTGTTTCCTTCTGTGATTATATTTAAATAAAACCATTCTGTGCCAGGGATGGTAATCTGCTACACATTACAGTTATTATTAACACTTTATTACATTTTTTTCCAAGGTCTGGTCTAGATTACATACAGAATAAATTAATCTCTCATCTCACAACGCATTAGATTATAGAATAACTAATAGAGATAAAGATGCCACACAGTAAATGGTGTAGGGGGTACACAGGGTAGTAAATGTTCGGCTCAGGAAAGAACAAATGAATGAAAGGGAATGGATGAAGGAGAGAGGGCCCAGCAACAAGCAGAAAGGTTGTAGAAAGGCAACCAACAAAGTAGAGACTTTGTGGAATGAAAAAGAATCCAGCAGAAGGGCGGTGGGTAAAAGCCATTGCCTACAGAAACAGATCGACCCAGAGAAGAGAAGGAAAGACAGCAAAGAAATTGGAAAAGAAACAAGAGACCTTTGCAACAGAAGGGATGAAGAGTTAGCAGGGAAATTATGTCTGCTTTGTACTTTACAGCAATTTGCATCTTCACAATCATAGCTTATAAGCACAAAGAAAACGACCAGATGTGGGAAATGTTCCCTCTTTTCAAATGTAAACTCAAAGATCCAAAACAAAGCCTAATTT